GGTAATCGAGACAACTGCACCAACTGTCAATAAATTAAGCGTACTGTTAGATAATTATTCAGATATTTTTGTAAGCGGACCAAATGACCCTTTAGGCCAAACCACTTTAGCAGAACACTCGATTGACACAGGAGACAGCCGTCCTGTGAAGCAACGGCCTTATAGAATTCCTGTTCATCTCAACACTGTAGTGAACAAGCAAGTGAACGACATGATCGAAAGAGGTGTAATCCGATCTAGTAACAGTCCCTGGTCCTCACCAATCGTATTAGCTCTGAAGAAAGACGGGGATTATAGATTTTGCGTTGACTTTAGGCGAGTGAACTCAGTGACAAAGAAGGACGCTCATCCTATGCCTTGTATAGACGAAATTCTGGACCAGTTAGTACCTTGGACCTTGCTTCCGGGTACTGGCAAGTATCTCTAAGGGAAGAGGATATGGAGAAAACGGCTTTCTCCATCGGTGCGAACCACTATGAATTTGCAGTTATGCCCTTTGGTTTAACTAACGCTCCCGCCACATTTCAGCGCATGATGGGGAATATATTGAAGGGTATTAAAGGCTGCCTAGTATTCATGGATGACATTATTATTTTCTCGGATACGTGGGAGGAACCTCAACACATTTTGGACGAAGTATTTCGTCGTATTTGGGCAGCAGGGTTGAAGATCAAGCGAGACAAGTGCCAATTTGCACAAGAATCGGTGAAATTCCTTGGCCACATTGTATCTGTACAGGGAACAGAACCAGATTCGTCCAAAGTTGAGGCTGTGCGAGAATTTGCGACCCCGACCTCTCTCACCGATGTTCGAGCGTTCGTTGGGATGGCATCATACTATAGACGGTTTATTAAGAACTTTGCAGACATTGCTGCACCGCTCCACGACCTAACCAAGGGTGGCCAACCAGAATTTTGTTGGACACCTATGGCCGACAAAGCATTTAATGACCTCAAAAGTCGTCTGTGTTCAGCACCTATCTTGTCCCTACCAGACTTCTCCGTTCCTTTCACCATTTATACGGATGCCAGTGATTTCGGCCTCGGTGCTGTCTTGTCCCAGCGAAGAGGTGAAAACGAGTACGTGATCGCGTATGCCAGCCGGACCCTTACGTCTGCAGAGAAAAATTACTCAACCACAGAGAAAGAGTGTCTAGCCATTGTTTGGACAGTCAATTATTGGCGGCCATATTTACTCGGAAACACCTTTGACATAGTGACAGACCACCAAAGTTTAACGTGGTTGCAAGGATTGAAAGAACCGAAGGGTCATCTCGCCAGGTGGATCCTTGCCTTACAGGAGTACGATTTTGAAATCAAGCATCGCCCGGGTCGACAACACAGCAACGCAGATACCTTATCGCGTTTCCCTCGCGTGACACCCCCGCAGATACCAGACCAAGTGTGCATTCCAGTGTGCATTCCTCGTCTGGGGTTTCACCTTTCCAGGCAATTTATGGTCGCGAAGCCACTACACCGCTGCTGGGACTTATAAACACCGAAACTGAAGTTAAGGAACAGTTTATTTCAAATTACTGTGATGAACTGGAGAAGACATTAAAGGACGTACATCGCAGCATCAAAACGAACATTGATGTGGCACAAAGTAAGCAGAAGAAAGGCTACGGCGAACATAACGACGAACATAATGACGTTGACCGAAGTACATCGCTAAAGGAAGGGGATCGGGTGTGGCTCAATAACAAAGCGGTACCAAAGGGCTTGAGCCGAAAATTCCATTCACCGTGGACGGGGCCTTACGTAGTGATCAAGAGACTGGGCAAGGTAAACTACCATATCAAGCCGGGGTCTGGGAACGGTAAGACAAAAGTGGTACATCGCAATCGACTTAAGCTAGACATACGCCAGCCTAGAATCGAAGAAACCCTGTCTGTTGATCAACCAGAAAAGCACAACTCGAGAATCGAATTGCTCCCACGCGAGTCAGTGATACATCACGGAGAGAGGCTGGCGGACGCACAGCTGTTACCAGCAGAGGAGCTGATCCAATTGCGTAGGTCTAACCATAATCGCCGACAACCTGATAGATATCAGGATTATAACTTAGATGAACTAGAGATCGAGGACGCTCTCAATTAAAGAGGGGGGTAATGTAACATATGCTAGTGATTATATGGTTTAATAGGGATTAAGAGCGAGTCTCTACAAAAATCAAACATACCGCGGCAAGGCTCAAAATTTTAAATTCGCTCTACTTTTGAATTTAAGTTAACTATGACAAAGTATGACACGTCATATGGTTAGTTTTTAAAAATACTCTTTTGTTTATGAAAAAAAGGCAAAAAAATATTTCAGCTGTGAGGACCGATTTTCGCAATCGAAAAATGGCCGAAATTGCGTATGTTTACTTAATCCTGGTATCCAAACCCTAAATCCAAATAGCCTTATTATACTTTCTGCTAAAGATACATCACTCCCTCGTTTATTAAAAGTGGTTTTTATGATAATTGAACAACTGAACACATTTGTGCACAATAAAGAGCGATGGGTACTGATCTTTATTGTTTGTCATTGCGTGTAAAAAGTGACTGTCAATTTCCCGTTTGTAATCTAAAATGACTGAAAATTGCAAACTTTGTAGGGCTATATTATCCGCATTTTACAACATTTCGCAACGAAATTTTGGAATATTACTAATTTTGTGATGCAGAATTCGGCAAGTTTTATCACAAGCTCTCCAAATTCTCAATAACAGCCGATTCCAACCCATCACATTATGCACAAAGTTTAAACATAAAAATTTTGACTCAGGTAAACAAATTATTACAGTTACTACAATACTGGCCACTTGCACCTTGTACACTCTAAAATCATCCGGGTTAAAAAATCCGGGTCATTTGAAAATGACCCAATTTGGGTGAAATATCCTTCTTCTAACCCACTTCCTGGTCAAATTCCGGGTCAATTTTACAAAACAATTGGCGACCAGGATTCTGGGTCAAGAGAAAAAACAAAATGGCGGCGCACGCAGGAGTGATTAATCAATTCTGTGTTTTCCCGCCTTTTTCTACTTTTTTCTTTGGCTTTGTGACAAAAATATTTCAACTGTAAAAAAATTGTTAAAATGGTCAAAGAAAAGCTGATAGAGTGGAATCTTTCATCGCTAGTTGATATATTAGAAGTAAGTGCTTAATTTTTGTCAATATTCTGTGTGCTCGAGCAACTTATTGCAAAGAAACGCCACAAATATTAACTACATTGACTTGTTTATTACAAGAAACAGCAGCTAGAACAACTGTTGGTACAAAATGTTTGTTGTTTTACAACAGAGAACATGATAGACCAAGTAGCTTTTTTATTATTGAACAAAGAGGGTTTAAAAGAAATGGTTCCCGCTGTTGGGCCACAACTAAAACTACAAAAAAAGTTGCGAGAGCTTCAGGTAAGCGAGTGGAACTCAAATTTGCTCAGTAAAATTTTTCTACCCCTAGGAC